ATCCTGCAGTACTTTGTGAGCAGAGACTTACTATGGTAGGGGGGAAATGTATTATATAGTTTTGTGTTTGACTAATAAAAACATATTTTTTGTGATAATAGCAGTGTAAACAAACTAGAAACGATAGAGCACCCTCTACTGTACCAGCAGTAGCGTGTTTCTAAATTCTCTCCATCAGTGATATGGCAGGCTGAGCTGTAAGGTTACACAGCTGAAACAGGTTTCCTTGATTAGCACTTAACGAGTGAATGTACAGCACTACAGGCCTTTTCTCAGCAGATATTATAGGGTGGGAAAAAATCAGCAGCTGTTCCTTAAGACATTAACGATGGTGGTTCAGTTGTTCCAGTAAACTATGACATTGCAACAGTGACAAGTGTATTATAAGAAAGGACAAACTGATTGGTAACCTTTTTTAAATCTTGTAAGATATTTAAATTTTGTATAACCTATATGTCTGGTGATATATTGTTTAATAGGAAAATGTTTTTGTTTAGAATATTGAACAATAACAATGTGCAGTACTTGGAACAATTATTTTTCCTCCTCTTCTCTTCTAGGTCAGCTGAACTACCTGGGCGCCAGCCACCAGGTGTGGCACATACTGGTGGTGGTCATGTTTTATTGGTGGCACCAGTCCGCAGTACACATCATGCACTTCAGACACAGCCAGTCCTGTGTGACCCAGACCCGCAGCTAAGTCAAACCAATCAAGTTATTTTTGTTTAAAGGGTTCCAGTTGTAGGTGTTAAGTGTTTGCTGTATTTAGTTGGGTCAGTGAAGAATCACAGCGGTTGTTGCTCTGTCATCATCTTAGATGCATTTCAAGGCTTAAGATGCATTTAAATTTGAGTTGTTTGGACCTAAATCACATGTTCTCATAAACCTCACTGCTCTGTCTTCAGAAGCTGTTGTTTAGTCTAAATGCACTTGTTGTATCCTGTAGAAACACCTAAACACCACTAGAGGTCATCATATCTGAGACCTCAGCCTTCTGCAGATATAAGGTTTTTGAGGTCATAACATTTAGTATAGCAGCAGATACATCTTACATTCTCTGACAGAAAATTCAGCAGACCAGCCTTACTGGTTCAGACTCTGAGAATGGTGGTTAGTGGTCAGAAACCGTAACTTAGTCTTGTAGATTGTGAAGTGATGCAGCTGATGAAAAGAAGTGTGCACAATACGTGAAACTTTTTTTTTATTTGTAGAAACAAACCACTTTTTTTTTTAAACTGTTTTCTTATACTTGGTTTATACTGGAAATGTCCACAAGGACCAAACATAATAACCTGTGTGAAGTGTCTATGCCTGTAATTTTGTATTGGGTTATCATTTTGTTCTTGAGATTGTATGACGTTTCTTGACAAATGGTGGAAAGTACAGGAAACAAGTCATGAGAACTTGAAGTTTTGCATTTGGACATGTGACTTGCTTAGGCCTCGGGGGGCCTCCTGTCTACATTCATCTTCTACGCGGGACTTTGGGGTCTTTTTAGAGCCACCAACACACAGATATTAAGGGAATATTATCTTGAATTTGATTAAGCAGAATATAATCCTGGCCAGTAGGAAAGTACTAAGTTACTTGACAATTTCTAACAAGAGCATACCAGTTAAGCTGTGTTCATAGAGGACTAGAGTCATCAGGACAACAACACAACAGTCTTTATTGATATGCAGATATTTGGGTTGTACTGCATGTGCTCGGAAATTTGCGCCCCCTCCTAATACAGTCAATGTAAATGGAGTTTATTTTTGGACCTTATTGAGAATGTCCCCTAAAAGCCCTTTACTGTGTATGATTTGTAGAACACACTGTTTAAACTGTTATTTAGGGACTTTTTTTTTTTATAATACTGTGGTTCAAAATCATAGGCAAAAAAAAAAAAAAACCCAAACTATGTCCATAGGAGAAAATCTGTTTTTTTCTGTGGCCCTGTAACAGCAGCTTGAGTCGTACAATGAAATCCCATTTTTAAAGACAACCCATTGAGAAGTAGCACTTTGCTTGCACTGGCTGGCCAGTTACATGTGTATTTGTCCTGGGGGGGTATCAGTTGTCAGCCTTACTTCCCTGTCATTAAGGCTGTGAGAAAGAGGTTATTGTCTACTGGATGTTGGTGTAAAGTGTTTTCAGGTGCATTATTTTCCTCAAGTACACTTTAGTACCATTACATATTTAGATTTTTGTTTTTTTAATCCATGTCTTTCATTTGCCTTATCTTTGAGTATTTGTACACTGTATATACACTTACTGTCTGCGTTTGGTCAAGAACAAGTGATCAGACTCAGACTGATATCATCTTTGCTGTTACATCACGAGGCCACTATGTGGGTCTTTATGGTGAGGTTTAATATTTAGACCAACTCATGAATTCAGGCAGAGCATGTTTATTACTGCAGAGCTGGAAGGTGCACTGTTCAGCTGCTAAAAGACATGACTTTATCTAGCCTCTTGTATATTATTATTATTATTTATGAGCATGACTCTCTGATTGTCATAGTAATTTCCCCCCCTTTTTGAATGAGCTCCTGAGTGTTTTGTCCTGTATTTGTGGTGTTTTCTTGAATGTAAGTTGTATGACAAAGCACTGGAACTAACAAACGATGTAAAAAAAAAAAAAATTCCGTGCCTCTGTGAAAACATATTTTTAAACATTTTGCATGAATAAAGAATGCTGGGAAATGTTACTATTTTTATTTTGATACCATGAATTTGTTATTTTTAAAATATGATGGAACCAATGACCTTTGATAAAAGTTCAGACAGAATAAAAGTCTGACCTGGTTACCTGATGACCATAATCTCATTTTAGTTGCTGAGGAAGCATCATGTTTTTGAGCTTCTGCTATTCGCACTGCTGAACAATAGAGGGCTCCACCGAATTAAAGAACTGTTGCCCATTTGTCATCAAAGTAAACGGACTGTTCACCTCCTCTCTGAGTACTGCATGTCTCCAATAAACATGAGGCATGTTTTTTTTTTTTTTGTTTGTTTGTTTTCATTTGAATTAATCGGCCATCAATTTGCTTGAAGATAATTTTTTTTGAGATGTTTTAAGTTTCCTTTCCAAGTCAAAGTCAAAGTGTTTATTTATCATATGCACAGTTAGGAAACATGTTTCCCTGTACAATGAAATTCTTTCTTTGCCATCCACATGAATGCCACAAAATACAAATGAAATATAAAGTAGATAAGTAACACTAAATCTAAGGCACTTTAAGCAGCAAATGCAGCAGTATAATAAAAATATATAAGAATATAATAGAGAATGTATGCTGCATGGGAGCAGCATGTGCAGCAGTCAACAGTCAATGCGCAATTATGCATGTGCAAACTGAGAATGTAAACGGTACATGACTTATTTCCTGGTAACAAACTCCTCAGCTGTTTAGGAGTCTGATGGCAGAGGGAAAGAAAGAGTTTTTCAGTCTAGTGGTCCTGCATTTCACACTTCTGAACCTCTGGCCAGAGGGTAGGGAGGCGAACAGTCTGTGCTGGGGGTGGGTGGGATCTTTGAGGATGGGTGGGATCTTTGAGGATGGAGGCAGCTTTCCTATGCACCTTGCAGTGGTAAATGCTCTGCAGAGAGGGCAATGGAGTCCTGGTGATCTTCTCCACAGTCTTTACCACTCTCT